GCGGTTTCTCGTCGCCTGAATCCTCTTTCCGCTCCTCTTCGTTCTCCGTCCACTCGTTGACGATCTTTTCAGGCTTGGGCTCTGGTGGCGGCACCTCCTTTGGAGGGTTCCGCAACAGATGATGCAAATATACCTTAGCACCCAGGAGGATGATCTGCTGCTTAACGGCCTCGGATTCATTTGCAAAGTCTTGTACCAGAATGCGCAGGATATCGGCCGCAATATTTCTCTCAGGCGCGACACCGGCAAATTCTCCGACCAGCCAAACAATGGTTGCTCTGGCATCGGAATTCTTTGTTAATCCCAAATGCTTGACAAGCTGGATCACTGTCTTCTCGTGTGAAGGTGGGTCCTGCTGGATGAGGTGTCTGATAACGGTCAACGACTCTGAAACAAGGTTGTCGTCTAGACTCGTAACTTGACTCAAAAGGACGCGGAGACAATGATCAGCACTTCGAGGTTCACTCTGTGCGCAGCGCCCTATAGCACGCACGCTTTCTCGCACTAGGTCTGGGTCTGAGCTCTGAGAAAAGTGTTCCAGTTCGCTGAGGATCACGCCCTTCAAGTGCAGCCCGCAGTGGGGAAAGAGTAGAGTGAGTACTTCCAGCTTGAGGCGCCAGATATGAGGCGGATCTACCGCGTGGACCAGGAAGTGCGTAGTGTATTTCGTAAACGGCTTGGGGTGTTTTAGGGCAACGGCGACAATGTTATATAGCGCAACATGCTGCGTATCCTGTGGGCTCCGAACCAGCGCAACTAGAGGACCAACGGCGGCATCGAGATACTCGGGAGTGCCGAGGTAAAGGAAACACCGGACAACGCCAACAATCACAGCGGAGTTGCGATTCTGCAGCAACAGCTTGCAAGTACGTAAGAGGAACTCAAGATCAGGGTCCAGCACAAGCACTTCATGCTCGTTATCATCACCATTGCTCTCCGGCGCCTTATCGTCCTCGTAGAAGCCTTCAGAAACTGCCTGTTTACCTTTCTGGACCTTGCGAGGGAAGCACTTCCTGGCGTAAAAGGTCAGAAGACGCAGTGTTGAGAGTTGGCTCCATTCGTCCATGTCGACGAGCTTCTTGACAAGGCTTCGGTAATGCTTATGAATGAGGTCGATCCTGTCCGGACAAACATCTAGGAAAGCGGCGACAGCAGGCCCGAGGACAAAGTACTGGCTATCACCGAGCAAAGTAGTAAGATACCCAATTAGCTGAGGGAGTGTACTCGGGTCCAGGCGATAACACTTTGGGATTGCCAGTGCTGCGGCTTTGCGAACATGTGGGCTCATGTCGCCGCAGCCTCTTTTGATTGCAAGGGACACAATCTGACTGATAACTGGCACCCTGATTCCGGACATTGTACGAAGCGCCATAGCCCGCGAGTGGGGGTTCTGATCGGTAAGAGACTTCTGGATGGCATTGATAGATAGGAGCGCAAGGTCCGGTTCCGCCTCCGCATGATGGACCAAATAGATGTAGACTAACTTCTTAACCTCAAGATTCGAACTAGCGACGTTTTTGACCACAGCCGAGAAGAAAGGAAGGGAGGGTTCGGATCGGTACATCAACTATATGGCGCAAAACCAAAAGAGCGTTAGACAATGGATTCTTGCATTTAGGCATCTCGGGGCCCTACCGTAATCACCCGGCGCATGCCATCCAGAACCTCCCGGTCATTCCGACTATCCAGAAGCTTTTTGATGTGAGCAGTAGCCAAATTCCGAGACGATAAACCCGTGCTAGACCCCTTACTCAGGGCTGCTGACTGGGCTGCTTCGAGGGTGAGCTCACGAGCTGCTCGCACGATCAGTTAGTTGATTTGTCCAAATGCGGAGGACAATTGGCGAGCAACTGTCCGCGGTGACATTACCTGTTTCCAGCATCGTGGATATTCTGGAAATGGTCTCCATCTTGGCCCCGAGGTCCTTCGCATAGGCGCAATAACAGATCAGACCTGGGGAGGGGGGTTGTCCCTAATAGAGGGGAGCTGGAGGAAGTTGGGAGTTCCGCGGCGGCGGGCGGGCAGCTGACATGACGATTGGGTAACGTGCTTGACTACGGCTACTTTCCATCGTCCGCTAATCCCACTTGCTATCTCGGTAACCATCATCGAGGCAGGAGATTGGGAGAACTTATTCTTGTTCACACCCCTAAGTCATCATTGTTAACAATGCTATTTAATTTCTCCATAGAATCTACTGTTAATTTTACCTGCAGTAAACAACTAGATGTCTCAACGGCCTTCGGTGGGAGAAACCATGACTTGCGGCGTCATGTCTGCGTGACTGAAAACTCGCCCTAGAGCATGGCAACTCCATTTGTTGGTTTTACGTCTTGTTTTGATATGGAGGAAGCAATATGCTGAATAGAGATGACGTGATAAGCGAAGTCCGCCAGATTTGCTCATATATCAACACCAGGTGATGGATTATGGCCTGAAGCCACGAAATTGGCTAATTGGCTCCTATCCATAGAACGGTAGAGGACCCCTTCTATCCGGATATATCTCGGTCTACATGATTCATACCCTCGCCATCGTGAATAATCCCTTCACAATCTTTGCTTTGCTTGTTATACTAGGTACGCTGCTCGCCGTTCCCACGGCTGACTCTCGCGGCACGGCATCATCGTCCCTGATTTGGGTTTCCTGCTTGAGAGGATCGCCGTCAGCATCAGAGCTGGAAAGCGCTGATACCTTCCATGCTCGCACAAGTCCGAGGCAAATGCATGCTGCCATGAACATGAAGCCGACAAATATCTGGGCATGCAGGAAGTTAGTTTCGTTGTCGGTGCGCAGCCAAAGAGCGATCGGTTCAGCAAATGTGCTCGGGATGACGACTGAAAGCCAGAAGATCGACAATGCAGATGGCAAGAGTTGTAATCCCACAACCTCCGCGCCAACTGGAGCTACAGTAGTCGTGAAGGTCGCAGCAAAAGGACCGCTAATCAACGCATAGAAGAGGAGGACTCCGAAATTTTTGGCAAAGACCCAGATGACGAGAGAAAACAGGCCAGCCAAGAAGGTACAAGCTAGAGCGGTGTTCAGCCGTCCAAAGCTATCGCTGACGTACCCTATAACAGGTCGCCCAAGGCCTCCTCCAAGATTGAACATGGCACCAACAATTGAGCCTTGAGATGCGGTCAGGCCTACGGTGGTTGCATAGTCGGGAATGGAGAACAGAAGGGCCACGTAGCCCAACACGCTAAAGCAACCCCAGGCCAAAGTGAGCAGGAACTCTGGTCTTCTTAAAAGCTCTGTATGGAAGGCGATTTGAACAGCTCCAATGGCCTTGTTTCGATCCCTTACAATGATAGCAGAGAAGCCGCACGCAGCAGCGGAGACGATCGCCAGGATGCGAAAAGCCCAGCCAATGCCCCATTTCTGAATAATGGCACTTGTAGCCAATGAATAGATAAGGCCTCCGATTCCCGATCCAGCCGTTGCAATACCATTGGCAAGGGACCGACGGCGAGTGAACCACTGAGGAATGATGCCAACAGTAGCACTGAATTGCATGCCCATGCCGAATCCAAAGCACAGAGCTTGGCTGAGGAACAATTGCCAGATCTGACCCGCCCATGACGCTCCCAACAATGCCGCGGTCTGCAATGTGATCCCGATCATCAAGGTAACTCTTGTACCCCACATTCGGGTCGTGATTGTTGCGACTGGCGCGATGAATTGAGCCATACTGAGGGAGAGGCCTCCGACAAAGGCACAGTCGAGGTCTGATGCTCCTGGGAATGTATTCGTGTCCAGATAATGAGCCAGAAAGACACCATAGGCCTAATTGCGACAAGAGTCTGTAAGTATAGCCTTGTCTAGAAGATCTTTTGTAGAGCCCTACACTGTTGATTCCCCAAGTATGGGCATTGACCAGAAAGACGCACAGCACACAGATCCAGCCATAACCACCGTTAATCTCTACTGGTGCTGATGATTGAGCCTGTTCGGGATCGGCTAGCTTGCCATCGGCTGTGCCATTCTTGGACAGCACCGTCTCCGAAAAGTCGGTAGAAGGATGAATGGCGTCGTGGTTTGGCACAGCTGCAGTCATTGTGTAGCTTGAGCCACCGTTCTCCTCAGAATTCATATCTCTGCTCATCACCAGCAAGAGGGCTTATTCGGATAATTATTCGAAACTAAACGAAGAGGAAAAGATGTGAAAATCCACCTTTTCTTATTCAATGGTATACAAGATACATAAGTGGTTACCAAAAACACCCACCAAGATATGATCATAGGCCCCATATATAAGAAGACAATGGCTAAGTAATTGACAGGGATCTAACTAGTTGATTATTATTTTGGTTGAGTCATACCATCGTTGCACAGTGTAACTATCCGACTAACATTGAATTTGCGTACCCCAGCTTGGCGTGCATAAGGCTATCTATACACCCCTGTACATAGCTTCCAGTCATCATGAAATGTTAAATTAAGTGCGGAGGCATTTACTATAGTGTCTTCCAGTTATCAGTTGCTGTGACCTTTCTTGATTCGAAGCTAATCTAGTACTTTCCTACGCCTCATTATGCTTATAAGGCACACCATCTGCTTGTCTTCAATGCCTAGAAGGAAAGATGACTTGAACAGTACTAGTGTATGATCAAATAGACGGAGTAGGTAAGCGCTGATAGTCACTAGCCGTACTAGGTAGAGTAAGGAAAGGTTCCAATTAAACCTACTAGGTGGCGTGGGATTGTTGTCTGATGTATAATTTTGACTCTCGGCACCAACTGAATATTGTCCAGGTAAATAGGTACATGATCAGCCCATTGCAGCTGACTGAGCTGCATTATTCAATCCATATAAACTTGATAAAAATTGGGTCACGTTCGTATAGATCTAAACGAGCCTCCCTCTTCTATACTAAATGCTGCGGTAGCAATTAAAAGCACCAATCAGAAGCGCCAAATCAAACGGTTCAACCACCCTCTCCAAATCCTAACCCAACCACTACTAGTCATAAGTAGTAGATAGCTCAGCGCTAATGCACTCCACAACTCATCCATCCATCTACCCATCCACCTACATAGTAACAAACCGTCTATCATTCTATCTACAGAATCAAACACCCACCCCAACAATACTACTTAGTACTATCTATTATGACCCAACCCCCTCCAACCCGACAAATCTACACCACCAGCGACCGCAAAACAGATTTCCTCCAACACATCATCACCCAAGATGCGCCCGCTACAATACTACTCATATGCACAACAAAAGAAAAATTCCTAGAGCAATTATTACTCGCCTCAGGACCAGGAACTGAAGAACATCATCAACATAATCACATACTTACCAAGAACACCATTGGGGTGCTGTCCAAATCAAGCAGCATTAAGTTAGTGTACTGCCCTACGCTGGAACATCTTCGAGCGTACTTGTCTGTGATACGATCGCCGGAAGATGGTGTAGGATTGCAACGAGAGTTGTTGACTACGACTACTACTTCTACTACTACAGAGGAGAGGGAAGGGCAGACGAAACAACAACCACCAGCACCAGCACCTCTTCTGGCTATTCTGAACCCGTTGGCTTTACATGTTCCTACTTCGGAGTTCTCTGCTCAGGGATTGTCGAGGATGTTTGCGGCGGTGGTGGAGGTGGCGGATCGAGGGGGGTGGGATCTTGTGCTGTGTGAATGTAAAGATGTTGGTGATTCCACGGGGAGTGGGAGTGGGATGGGGGAGGTGTCATGGCATACGCAGGTGCCGCTGTTGAACAGCTCTGTGCGGGTTGGAGAGGAAAGTACTTCGTATCGAGGGGGTGGAGTACCAGTTAAAAGGGTCGTGCAGCGGTGGTTTGAGTTTAATGATAATGAGGCTCCGATTACAGACACTACAGTTATAGACGTCTGACGACTTGAATGACAGTAATAGAGCAAGATATGTGCTATAAGACAATGTAAACCCCCATAATCAACCGGGTATCCTTGAACCAGCCCTAAACTCCCGATTTGACACCGTAATGATTTCCCAAATTTATAGGCATTTCTCCATGTCCGTGATATAGAGTTTGATATGTGACTCCAACTTCAAGTATTCATCGTGAGCGCTTTGGATTTCGCTCTCGATGTTCTCCTTGAGATCGGCCATCTGGAGAAAATTAGTAAAGTATGCAAAGCCGAAGAAAACAAGAGATATTTACCTTCTTCTCAGTCTGTTCAATCCGAATTCTCCTCCGCTCCATGTCGCGCTGCTTTTCAGCTCGCTCCTCCCGGAGTTGTTTCTGGACTTCCCGGAGTTCTTCCATACGCGCCTGCGCTACTTCTGCTTTTTCTTGAGCATTCTTTCGCAGAGCCTCGATCCTCTCATTCCATCGTGCCAGCTGGCGCTGCAGCAACTTCTCGGTCTGCTCCACCTCCCTAACATTGTTCCCTCGTTCGGAAATGGCCTCTCTATTCCTAGAGGCCCTAGACTCCTCATCATCTTCCTTTTGCAGTTCCACGGATATATCTTCGAGAAGGCGCACACAGGCTTGCACATCGTTACTAACAACCGTAAACGTGTCTGATGATGTTTGCAGAGCTCTCGCTCGTTTCTCCATCGCATCGATTTGCGCTTTCTCACGAAGGAGATTCTCCGACAAATCACTCAGCGAGGCCTGGAGAGAGATGGGGCTCTCCATTACATAAGGACGCAGTTTCTCGACTTCTTGCCGCGTACGAACGACCCTTTCTGTCTTCTCCTCGAGCTGCGCTTGCCGTCTTGCCTTATCCGCCTTGGCTCTTTCTAGCATCTCGGCTACTCGCTCTTGGTTGCGCCGCAATTCGAGCAGTCGCGCTTTCAACTCGTCGTTACGTCGTACCTTGTCCTTAACTTGTGCCTCGTTGGCCTTCATAGTCCGGCGCATTTCTTCGAGGCGCTGCTCCATCTCCTGGTTCTCCGTGTATAGGGTGTCGATGCGCGATTTGACCTTCTCGCCCTTGTTGAAGTGCTCATCAATAACGGGCGTTTGAGATTCGCGGAATCTAACAAAGTTGATGAGATAGGAGAATATCTTGACGAGTCGATCATGCGTAGGCTTGGTGAGATCGGTGAACATAAAATCATTGACGCCACACTATATTGGCGTATGTCAAATTAGATCCGACTGAGCTCGTCTGGTTTGGTGTAAAGCGGGTTCATACGCACCTCCATCATCAACCGCCGTAGGCTGGTAAAGAACCCCATGAGGTTGCGCGTGTCAGTAGGTACGATGTCGGGGTAGTCGCCGCAGATATCATCCGCCGCAGCTCGCATCGCTGGCTCTACGGTTTCGCGTGTCATATTCATGAGGAGCTCAGCAAACCATTCAAAGACCATTTGAATCTGTTGCGGGTTTGGCTTGATCAAGTCGGCGGCGGTGAAAGGGATGCCGATGTCATTAATGCATCCTGCAATTTCCTTGTCTGGCTGCTAGCAGTATTAGATATTGTAAGCGAAGATGTCTTGTTCGACTGTGAACTGACCAGGCGCATAAGAGCATCATTATCATCCTCCTTTTTGCGACCTCTATTGTGGTGTTGCTGGGAGCCATGGAATTGCTGGCTCATTCGGCTGCCGTACGCCATGGTTTCTCGCAGTCCAAGCTAAGATGATGAGCTACAGAAATCACTCGAACACGGCCAAGGCAGAGTGGTGGCGAGATTGGTGCCCGCTCGATGGATGTTGTGATGATTGTTTACTGCGCAGGACTCGCATGGCAACCAGAAGCGGATTAGCGCGGTGGGAGAGGGGCATCACAGACAAACAATGCAAACTTACTCCACGCTTCCCTTTTTCGATGACTCTTTGCGGCGGCCACAGCGGAATTACCTGTGGACAGTGAACCAGTTTTAGATAGTGCTTTCTTGCTGTGAACGCGAGGTTTTCCAGCTAACGGCTCTCAACTTCTTGGAGTATTATAGCTTCTCGGCGTTCTTCAGACATCATGGCAGCTCCCACATCGGCCGCCGCCAAGCCGTTCGAGTAAGTCACCTACTTCACATCCAGGAAGTTCTAGTCCTTTGGTTCGCTAATATTTATTCTTTCCAGCATTGTCGCGACCTACAATGACTTGCTCCGCTCCGATCCAGACCTGACTATGCCAATTGCAGCTATCGAAGCTCTGGTACTACTCCTTACAAACTCTCCCTCCTCGACGATATCCGAGACGCTCGACCTTCTCGAGAAATCTACTGCACACCTGAAACAGTCAATCCCGAACCCCATTGGTCTCTCCGCTGGAACCGACCTCTTCCAGCGGTACCTGATCACTACCCTGCAGAGACCCGGACAGCTCGGGCCCGCAGGTGATTTCAACGCGATCAGGGCGCATCTTCTGTCAAACGGACGGTTGTTCATTAGACGTGCGAAGGAGAGTCGAGACAAGATCGCGGCGTTTGGACGAGGCTTTGTACGCGATGGAAGCACAATTTTGACGAATGGAGGATCGCGAGTTGTCGCTTCGTTGCTACAGAAGGCCGCGGATGAGAAGGGCGGCCCGTCGGCAGTGCGGTTCAAGGTGATCTATGTCCTGTCATCGGCGAAGGGTACTGGTGCGCATTCCGATGAACCGGAAGGTATGGAGACTGTGCGCGCTCTCCGGGCGAAGGGTGTTCCTGTCGCTACGATCCCGGAGTCGGCTGTTGCATACTCGATGGGCAAGGCCGATACTGTCATTGTCGGTGCCGAGGGTGTGGTTGAAAACGGTGGAATCGTGTCGCGTATGGGAACCTACCAGATCGGTCTTCTTGCTAAGGCTATGGGCAAACCCTTCTACGTTGTGGCGGAGAGCCACAAGTTCGTCCGTCTCTACCCGCTCAGCCAGTATGATTTGCCGATTGAGCAGCGCGTGATCGATTTCAAGACTGAAGAAGATGTTGCCGACGAGGCGAAGCAACAGCAAGCTTTGCCTACGGATGCAGCCGATGCCAAGGCCATCAACACGGCGGACAGTGCTGATGTAGTAGACTTCACTCCCCCCCATCTGATCTCTGCCTTGATCACCGACAGCGGTGTCTTGACGCCAAGTGCGGTCAGTGAGGAGCTGATCAAGATTTGGTTCTAATTTTCCATTTCCATTCCGCGCCCTTCCATACAGGCATGAGGCGTGGAGCTTGTGATGTCTTTTAAAAACTGAATGAAGCGGATTGGCGTTAAGGTCATGATATCTCCGGATACTCAAGGTGTTTATTGGTTTGCAATGTGATGTCTGTCTGCAAATCCCAAAGAAAATAACAGCTGAATAGAACTAGGATTACAAGATCCGACAAGGAACGTAGCAATTACTATTTTCCAAATTTACAAAATGCAGAATCCCGGCATATTGGCTATTCACAGCCACACCCGCCGCCGTTGTTTCATGCCACACTAAGATAAGCTTAGTACACCTCACCGCGTGAGTGATGTTATGTCTTAAGGGGCAGATGTAGCTGACTACTAGTCATCATTCTTGCCTATGAATTACGTGAGACATTTGAAGCGTGTGAGGCAACTGCTCTAATTTGCGTCATAGTATGTTTGTTTGTATTTGTATTGTAAGCCATACAGTTTGCGGGGAATACTGCCGAGGCTATCCTCATTCAAGGCAGCAGGCGGTGAAAGAGGCAACAGACTTGCCATATTAGGCAGGAAGTACTCCGTAATGGCTTTCCCCTATGATTTCATTCCGCGATGGACATCTTGTTCATGAACTCCTACCATGTAGTTTATCTAGCCCCCTGCAGCCGCCATTGGCTTTTCTTTTCTTACTGTACCACGCTCCAAGCCTTGTTCATGAGGTGTCATCCGTCTTACTCCCTGCATTAAGCCTGTACACCTGATACCGTCGATCGCAAAAGACTTCCGCCCTACGTCTCCTTGTCTGCGCGCAGTTTCGTATTCGTTTCTGCTGATCGGCCGCTGCACGAGCCAGCCTTACCAGCCCGCGGTCATACTCCGTCTTTTGCTATAGGATCCACCTCAAACGTCCAGCACTCACCCCCCTTCCTGTCTGTGTCAGCTTTCTGCATGTGTCAGATTTCGTCTATCTATATAACTATTGGGGTGCTGGCTCTCCGGTTCCTTGGATCCATGTGAACCGACGAATTTCTCCTATTGCTTTTGTCCCTGCCCGCAGCATGTCTTCGGCCGTTCAACCACCTAATGGCTCCCCTTTACTACGGCCCCGTGCCGTTCCGGGGTCAAAGAATCTAGACGATTTGACAGCAATTTCCCCCTTGGAGAAAGCTGATTCGAGGCAAGTACTTGCATACGGAATTACTAGAATGGCTGGTGCTAACTTTCCTCACCAGTGGCCGCTCAACCCCGGTCCCCGACGATGCTCCCCCCTCCGCGCATTCAATTTCCACGGCAAGAAAGCAAGCACGAGCCCGGACTCGAATATTCTATACAATCGATTATGTTCCTCGAGTATCCCATTTTGACCCGCGGAGCGAGTACCGTGACTTCCGCGGCTTCTATACCCTGTTTTGGATTGCATTGTTTATCATGGTCGTTACTACGATGCTTCGGAATATCAAGGATACTGGCTATCCCTTGAGGATCAGAGTATGGAGCCTGTTGTCAGAAAACGTGTGGTCCATGGGGTTCAGTGACGTGGCTATGGTGGTCAGTAGCGCAGTGGTCCTGCCGCTCCACCATCTCATACGAAAAAGCAGTAGCTTGATGCGCTGGGGAAGAGGTGGCATGGTCGTGCAAAGCATCTTCGAGGCAGGCTGGGCCATTCTATGGATCAAGTAAGTTGGCATCTCACTGTACCTTCGGCTAGATGCAGCAGCTAACCAGGCTCGTAGTTGGCCGTTTATGATGCGCTGGACCTGGACGGCCCAGGTCTTCTTCACCCTTCATACTCTAACCATTCTGATGAAGGTGCACTCGTATGCGTTCTACAATGGTCATCTGAGCGAGACGCAGCGTCGACTAGCGTCTCTCGACAAGCCAGGGAAAGTCTCATTGGAAGCGCCAATCCCATACCCAGATGCATCCCCCCGTCGACGCTCGGTAGCCCGGCGTGCGAG